TCAAGAGGTAACGGAAATACACCGAAACCCATTCCACCGGGTTTTAAACCTTGTAATTATGACAAGAACTTTCCGTCACTTCCAGGATCATCTAAAACCCCAGATGTCCCAGTTTTTCGGCCAGAAAAGCAGCTGAATAATCAGCAAGAACATGCCCCCATGTTCACGTTTTCTGGTATTGTGGATAGCTTCTTCAGTATATTCAATGTCTCTGACTCAACGAGGAGCATTATTAATTTAGTGCTGCCAATGGTGAAAACTCTTTTGAAGCAACTAGCTTCTAGGTGGTCCTTCCTTGCATCGATCATATCTTTCGATGGATAATTCTCCGAATGAGGTCGGGGATATGATCTCTGTTCTTCAGTGGAACTGTAGAAGTCTTATGCCAAAACTTGACACATTTAAATTTTTAGTTAACAACTCACTTTCTGATGCATTTGCCCTTTGTGAAACATGGCTCTCTTCAGACAACGATCTTGCTTTCCACGATTTCAACATTATTCGCCTTGACCGCGCAGATTCGTATGGAGGGGTGCTTCTGGGGATCAACAAGCTCCATTCCTTCTACAGAATCGATCTGCCTTCGGTGACAGGCATTGAAGTTGTTGCATGTCAGGTTAATATTCGAGGTAAATGCCTCAGTATTGCCTCAGTATATCTTCCACCGCGAACTGCGATTTCTCGTCAAAGTTTCTCGGATATCTGCACGGCTATGCCGGAGCCACGGTTGATCTTGGGAGATTTTAACTCTCACGGTACAGGCTGGGGGGAACTGTACGACGACAACCGCTCAACCTTGATATACGACATGTGCGACTTCTTCAAAATGACAATTCTGAACACCGGGGAAGCAACACGAGTAGCTAAACCTCCAGCAAAAATAAGCAGATTAGACCTCTCACTTTGTTCGAGTTCACTATCGTTGGATTGCTCGTGGAAAGTAATTCAAGATCCCTACGGTAGTGACCATTTGCCAATCAAAATTTCTATTACCAATGGTTCATCTTCTACTCGTTCGGTCGACATCGCGTACGATCTTACAAAAAACATTGACTGGCGAAAATTCGCGACCGCGGTTCTTGATGCCAGCCAATCGGTTGACGTACTTCCTCCGCTGGACGAGTACTCCTTTCTCGCGCGTCTTATCATCGATTCTGCGCTGCGAGCACAGACGAAACGTGTTCCGGGTATTTCCGTCCGCAAGCGACCTCCCACCCCGTGGTGGGATAAGGATTGCACCGACGCGAACAGCGAGAAGTCCGCCGCGTTTAAACGGTTCCGCAAACACGGCAAGGTCGGGGATTTCGAGCGGTACACCGACCTCGAGAAAACTTTTAAGGACTTAATTAAAGCAAAAAAACGCGGTTACTGGCGTCGGTTCGTCGATGGTTTGTCGCGAGAGACTTCCATGAGAACACTCTGGAATGTCGGCAGGAGAATGCGAAACGCGTCATCACCGATTAACGAAGACAAGGAGTACTCGGACAGTTGGATATTCAGCTTCGCGCGGAAAGTTTGCCCGGATTCGGTGTCGGTTCAAACCAACGTTCGTGATCGTCCGTCGGGTAATAACGAAATAGATTCCCCGTTTTCGATGGTGGAATTCTCACTTGCTCTCCTTTCATGTAACAATTCAGCTCCAGGAATGGATAGAATCAAGTTCAACTTGCTTAAAAATCTCCCAGATGTCGCGAAGAGACGCTTGTTGAACTTATTCAATCAATTTCTGGAGCACAACATTGTTCCGGATGACTGGAGGCAAGTAAGAGTTATCGCCATTCGAAAACCCGGTAAACCCGCGTCGGATTATAACTCGTACCGTCCCATCGCGATGCTGTCCTGTATACGGAAATTGTTGGAGAAAATGATTCTTTTTCGTCTAGACAAATGGGTCGAGTCGAATGGTTTACTTTCAGATACGCAATTTGGATTTCGGAGAGGCAAAGGAACGAGCGACTGTCTTGCGTTGCTTTCAACTGAAATTCAACTGGCCTATGCGCAAAAACAGCAAATGGGTTCAGTTTTCTTGGACATTAAGGGGGCTTTTGATTCTGTTTGTATCGATGTCCTTTCGGATAAACTCCACGATAGTGGGCTTTCACCAATTATGAACAACTATTTGAGCAACTTGTTGTCTGAGAAATATATGAGCTTTTCTCATGGAAACTCGACAACTTCACGAATTAGTTACATGGGTCTCCCCCAGGGCTCATGTTTAAGCCCCCTTCTTTATAATTTTTATGTAAAAGACATTGATGGTTGTCTTGATGAAAATTGCTCGCTAAGGCAGCTTGCAGATGACGGGGTTGTGTCCGTTATAGGGCCAAGTGCACCGGACCTGCAAGGACCATTGCAAGATACCTTAGACAATTTGTCTACTTGGGCTATGAAGCTGGGTATCGAATTCTCTCCGGAGAAAACTGAGTTGGTTGTTTTTTCTAGGAAGCATCATCCTGCACAGTTACAGCTTCAACTAAAGGGTAGAACAATCACTCAAAGTATATCTTTCAAGTATTTAGGTGTCTGGTTCGATTCCAAAAGCACATGGGGAAAACATATTGCGTATGTGAAACAAAAATGCCAACAAAGAATCAATTTTCTTCGTACAATCACTGGAAATTGGTGGGGAGCACACCCGGAAGATCTGATCAGGTTGTACCGAACAACCATCTTGTCGGTTCTAGAGTACGGAAGCTTCTGCTTTCAATCCGCGGCGAAAACACATATCCTAAAGCTGCAACGGGTTCAATACCGTTGCAGCTTCAGGATATGTGTTTTCGCCGCGGATTGAAAGCAGAAGCTTCCGTACTCTAGAACCGACAAGATGGTTGTTCGATACAACCTGATCAGATCTTCCGGGAACTCTGTAGTCTGAACAAGGCATTATAGTACGTTCAGACTACAGAGTTATAACAACAATCAATACGAAACTAACAATTTTAAATTGGCTCACCACTTTAGTAGCCTATTGGTCCCAAGCAAACGATTAACGTACCCTATTCTAGTTGAAATTCTATTACTACACTATGTTTGTTTTGATTCGCTATGAAAGTTTGACAGATAACATCAGGGGTGTGTGGATTCATGCAGAACATGCAGGGGTGAGTGAAATAGCTTGGGACCGTTGTTCTGGTACTGAGTGAGCCAAAAATAATAATGATTTTCTTCGGGACCCAGTGGTCTTAGAGTTACCTCTATGGTTATAACATGTTATAGCGCTATCTTGATGGTGGTTTCTGTCTGAAAAATTATCGAGAAAATCTATCCAAGAAAAAATTGACTAAGTCCACGTAAACAGTACCACTGAACTGTCATCCGAATGAGGTTAACCTCGAAGGTGCAAAACCTTATAAGACCAGACACAAGGTGACAGAGTGACTTACCCCCTGGTCAATAGAATGAATCCATGGCAAAAAAACTTTTTTTTTCAATAATTAAAACGCAACATCTCAGGAACTACGCATATTATTTTTAAGTTTGTTAGTTTTTCTTATGTAAAAAAGGTTGAATCAAATTGGAAATTAAAATATATTCATTCAGAGAATTGTGTTTGAAGTATATAGCTGCATATTAGATTTCTTGACTAATTCTCCTATGAAAATCCAACCCCAACGCCAACACCATACCCAACGCTATCTGTAGCTTCATTCGTTTCGGAGATATTGATAAAAGAATTGAGTGCTTTCTTGAAAATCACGAAAAATAGAAAATGCTACCTTAAAATTTGAACTGAAATAAACGTCCCCTCCAAATTTGGCCTAAACCAGAAGAGGTCAATTTCAATAACCCATATGCAATTGAATTTGAGCCTCCCTTAGCTCAGTCGGTAAAGGCGCAGCTATAAAGCAAGACCATACATAGTCACGGCTTGGATCGATTCCCGTTCCGGTCTAGAAATGTTTCAGGTTGCAAAATTTCCCGACTTCCCTGGGCATAGAGTATGATCATAAAGGTAACTCTAAGACTAGTAGGTCCCGAAGAAACGTGCTCAACTTTTTGGCTCAGCTCTGGTACTATCTTCGGTCCCAAGCTAATCGATTCACCCCTCAAAACAGGAAATTCCACTAACCCCTCATTTTATCTGTCAAACTTTCATAGCGAATCAAAACAAACATTGTGCAGTACTAGAATTTTGACTTGAATGGGGTACGTTAATCGATTTGCTTGGGACCAATAGGCTAGTCAAGTAGTGAACCAATTTCAAATCGATAGTTTCGTCACAGACAAACAGACATAACACTAGCAAGTTGTTCATCGAACAAGCATTTAACAGTCAATTTAAAAGTATCATAGTTGGTAGTACCGCCACCTGTGGCGCGCATAGTCAATTCCCTTGCGTTTGACGTTTGCACACTACCGCCATCTGTTCAGCGTACTACCCACCACAGTGTACTCAACAGATGGCGGTAATGTTTTAGCGACGATGTTTTACAGTGAGAAATATTCAATGTGTTATGTCTGTTTGTCTGTGGTTTCGTATTGATTGTTGATTAAACTAATGTAAAAATGGTACAGGCATCGAAAGTTCTCAATTAATAACTGTGGAAGTGCTCAGAGAACAAAAAAAAGTTCCATTGGGGACGTAATAATGTCAAATTTGAATATTAGTCAGTCTGATTGAGATTTTTTTTTAATTCAACAATATCAGCACCTCCGAAAACATAAATTCATATGTTCTACCGTCTCTTGAGAAACTCTGGTGTCTGCGATGCCTAAGAAAATATTTGTCTGCACCCATCAAATTATCTCAACATTGAGCGCAATTCCTCATTCCTTATCGACACCCTCCGGCAGATAAGACAATACCAATCATCGCGACACTCTTGGCGTATCATGGAATTACCAATTTACAAACAATCAAAAACGCTGAAATGCCACATTTATCTCAACCACCATCGTCAGCTGTCAACAACCGACATATAAACCACCGCTATAGTAGTAGTTAACATGCGCCGACTCATGCCTTGAATAAGTTCGCAAAACTGCCAGCAACACGAGGTGTCGCGTCTCGTAGACAATGAAATTCAAATCTCTCGTCAGTGCTAATCTACTAAGACGCTAGAAATGACCACTTTTCGATCTGGTAAATCCCACGTACAATCCAGGCCCAAGAGGAGTCAAAACTGTGTGATTCGATTTCTTTTTCAGTTCTAGTCAACAAAAAAGTAGTGGCAGCCCTGGTCGTGGCTGCCATTATCACGATCTGCGCCATAGCGATCCCCGTGGCAATAGTGACGTCGTACGATGACGCGCAGAAAGATCAACTGCCATTTGCAGGACGGGACGTCCTTGATGAGGTTCCACTGATCGATGGGTAGGCACTTACATCAAGATGAGTCTGCGGGAATAACTAGGAACTTACGATTACAGTCACAACGATCTACCGTTCAATATCTACAAGGTGGAGCGTAACCTACTGGCGAACTTTAACTTGGATTCCAACTTAAAGGAACATCCCGTATGGGGTCAAACTGATTCAAGTCATACGGATCTACCCCGGTTGCGGAAAGGAAAATTGGGAGCTCAGTTCTGGGTGGCGTACATTCGCTGTGCGGACACGCAGTATAAGGATGCCGTTGCACGAACTCTTGAGCAGATTGACGTAGCGAAACGAGTCATCGCCAAGTACCCGAATGATCTGAAGTATGTGACCACAGCCGACGGAATCATGGAGGCATTTGAAGAGAAGAAGATCGCATCGTTATTGGTAGTGGAAGGTGGTCACTCGATCGATTCCAGATTTGCAGTTTTGCGTATGTTCTACGAGTTGGGAGTTCGCTACATGACGTTGACCCATTCGTGTAACACTCCCTGGGCGGATGCTTCACCGATCGATGAGGAAGAGGAACCGCAGTTGACCAACTTGTCCGAATGGGGGCGGGATGTGATTAGAGAGATGAACCGACTGGGAATGATGATCGACATCTCGCACGTAAGCTACGGAGTGATGCGGGACAGTTTGAGTCACAGCTTGGCACCGGTGATCTTCAGTCATTCGTCGGCACATACGGTGTTTCAACACCATCGGAACGTACAGGATGATGTGCTGCGGGAACTGGTGAAGAACAATGGAATTGTGATGGTCAACTTCTATCCCCTATTTGTTGGGGGCAACTCGATCGACGACGTAGTCAGTAAGTGCTGAGGTAGATCGCCTAGCTTAGACGATGTCTCGTTAACTGAATCCTTCTTCACCAGAACACTTTAATCATATCAAATCTATCACCGGCCCGGACCACATCGGAATAGGAGGTGACTACGACGGAGTTGGACAAACTCCAGTAGGTTTGGAAGACGTTTCCAAGTATCCGGATCTGTTCGATATGCTTGCTGCCGGAAATCTAACCACAGGCGAAACGTTTAGTCCGTGGACGAGAGAGGAATTGCGTAAACTCGCCGGACTGAACCTGCTGAGAGTGTTCAAACAAGTTGAACGAGTTCGAGATAACTTGTTGGCCCTGCCTCCGTATGAAAATATTATTCCTTTTGTAGATTTTGAGAAGGCTGGAGTTGCCGATCAACCTTGTATGACCAATATGAACATACATAAGGAATAAATGTTCACCCATAAGATTGCGTATTTAGCTTTTTGCGAACAATCACAACCGTACCGTACCACCCTATCAAGATCTGATTATAAGACCACCATAGGTTCCCTATAATTACCTCCATTATCAAACCGAAGACAGCAATCGCTGACAATATTAATTTATCCCATAGGCTCACAAACACACTCTCTAACCGGAGAGATCATCACCATAGATAAAGGAGAGGTTGATTTCGATTGGCACTTACAAGCTGTCGGTTGTCGTTTTGCTACGATTCTAACTGGATGTACCCAACGCAGAGTCCGTCCAGTATCACTGTGAACTTCTCAACCGCTAGACGTGCCGCCTGTCGTGCATAGGGAGAGAGAGAGAGCGTGCGCGCAAATAGTCATAAACCGCGCGATTATTTAGAGAGTAGAATCCACTAGATACTACCGAACGACACGTGCTGGGTGTAGTTTGTAGTGGATTAGTGCACTACAAAAAAAAAACAATGGTCAACCTGAGGCGAGGTTTGTATGTCATAAGTGCATAAATTAGCATTGAATTAAACAATAATGGATGATACGGCGTAATTTGTCTCTGCGGTGAAAAGAAAATTTCTGATAAATAATTTGTGCGATCGAAGATTTATGAGTAGGTAGACCCACAGCATGTACCGAATAGTGACTTCACGTAACATGATGGGAAAATTAGTGCTAAATGGCCGAGCATCACAGAGGGTGTCAAATACGCAGGCAGATGTCTATACGATAATCCGATTGTGTCAACGAGTCATGATGACACTGCCGAACGAATTGTATTGTTTCTAACTCGGTTTCTCAAAACCGAATAGCTAAAGCACAAACGGCAGCTCTTTTGTAAGCCGGTGTTTATTCCCGGAAAATATGGAAACGCGTAGGGTGTGTGTATGTATATTGCAAGCAATTCATGATGACATAGGTACTAAGCCGCTATTTATAATTTTAAAAGCTTTTCAAATCTGTTGAAAACTATGGGCTGTAACAGCGTTTCTCAATCTATGGGTCGCGGCATGACCTCTGGTGGGTCGCGGAAATTCAGACAACTTGGTCATGGTTTTAATAATTCGTGCAAAATTCATCTAAATTTATTATTATGTTCGGATAATCCAATTTGAATTACAATAACAATCTATTGATTTAATTTTTTGCTAGTTAAATTGACTTGAATTGCAATTTATCAAAAAATTGTGCAAATTACAGCACATTATCAAACAAATTAATTGCATATTCACAGCAAAAAATAAATTTTAATATTACATTCAAGAGGATGCACTTCAATCATGTCGAAAATCTCATGTAATTTTTATGGCCACAAAAATAAAGAAATGCAGTAAAAGTAGCGTAATGTCAGTTCATGCACTGTATTAATGATAATGTTGTCCTTTTTGGCAAGTAATATTACACCATATTTTTGACACGATTGAAGTGCATCCACTTTGATGCGATAGCAAAATTAATTTTTTGCTGTGTATTTACTTACATTTTGCAGCTTTCGCACCTCTTTAGACTCCGGCGCTAACAATAAGTATACAGTAATATTTTCACACTAGTCATATAATTTAAAACTTGAACTTCTGGAAGTTTTCTAGAGCTCAAATTCATTACTAGTTTGCCAATCTAAAGCTGCTACTGCTTTCAAATAGGTTGATATTTCAATGCTATGGCATGGCCTACACGAAAATATTAAAGCATGGCCCACTTAGGAATGGAACAACATCATTTGGGTCTATTTTGGATATGAAACGGTTTTCACTGTATTCCTTATTTTAAGAAAAAAATACGAAACGAACTTTTCCCTTAATACCTTAATCCCACCAATTATTCATCTTAGCTGCCGTTTTGATGACTGTACCTTTTACCAGAGTTGTGACCTATCACAATCACGTCAAACAGCTGATGGTAGTAACGCTTGGTACATTCCTATCAATGTGCTTGTCGGAGTACTCTTCATGACCATCCATCAAGTTGACGAAAGAAGTAAAAAGCAACTTGGTGAATGTCGTCTTCGGTGGTGATCCATCACCGATCTGGTCATTCCCGACAATCACGACACTCATGTGCTCGTTTTGAAGCAGTTGCTTGTTTGCTTTCTTATGTGAGTGTGTTGGTGAGTGAGCCCAACAGCTTCCATTTAATTCGGCCAGCTTTGTTTGTAACTCACACAGTCGCGCGTGCCGAGACGAACTTGGAATGCGTAGACCAAGGGGTGGTCACTCTACACACTTATTTTGCGCCAACATTTTTCTCAGTGTGCCTCAAGTGTGTCGCGCTGTTCCAAGAGTGCCATGTCATAGGACTGATTTTTTTTTTTGTGAATAAGTGTATGTTTGGCAACCCGGCATTTTTACAATTCAAATGTTTTTTTTTGTATAGCAAACCGTACGAGCTGTAGAAGACAACGCTCACGTCAACGCTAGATAAACAGAATAGGCAGTCCATCAAGAATACTGCTGCTGCGCAGCACTCTGATCGGCCCAGTTCCGTCGCCCGTATGTCGCAGTGCGATGAAGATTTGATCCCCGGAGAGTACAGTAAACATTACGCGCTGGTGAGGAACATTGGGAATGCACTCATTGAACATCTGCCCCGGGACATTAAAGATGAGGACGTTATCATCGATCACCATTTCGATATGAAGCTGATGATTCGGATCGGCGACGTTCGTACAGGAAGGGCAACTTGTTTCTAGAAACACTGGAATAAGAGACCAGCGGAGAAGAAAAAAAAACATGAATTTGGCAACAAGATAAACATCAAAGCAATCCTGGCATCACTTGCATTTGTAACTACTCGTGAGTGACTTCGCCAATGCACCGACGAGCGAGTTCATGAGTGATTGTTAAACGATTTTAATACCCCTCCCTAATTGAACCAAACCATTTGTAAACATTGCAGATTGGAATAATAACAGTATCTCCGCTGATCTCTTATTCCAGTGTTTCTACTTGTTTCTACCTTCTACGGCACGACCGAGTACTGCAGTCTGGAAGTGTTGGTGGTAGGCAACCGCTACTCCTGCCCTGAACTGGAAATGTGGGCTCTCTGTGTGACACTGTACGTGTTGTTGTCTTTGAGAACCCATTCGTGGACGTTGAGGAAATCCGTTGACAAGAATCCCAAAACTCGGATCACCATCCAGGAGCTAATGGAGGCGGAATGGATGACGCAGGAAACCAATTCGTCACAGTTCAATTTTCCCAAAATCTTCCCCTGTTAACCGTACGAAATCAATCCGTAGAAGTGCTACGTAGATGAAAATATCTGCTCCAACCATAAAAAAATGTGCCATATGTGCCAAGTGAGTGAGCCATGGTGTGCCCTACTGTGTTTTTGGCACACTGTGCTGAGTGGCCTTCCCCTTGGCGTAGGCATTATTTTCATTTTCTTCTGTCATCGTACTGCAGAAGTCTTCACTGTTTTCGTTGTGCTTAACATCATCAGCAGCGAGTGTTACGTTTTATCTGTGAGCAGCGATCATTACTGGTGATTGTTGTTTACCATGATCTACCTCTTACTGCGTGACAAAACGTGCTGTCAACGATAGTCGGTTGATGCGTTGACGAGTGAAGGCCCAAACGCAATGTGGACGGAAGCGGAAAGTTTGACAGTTATTACTGCCTTCCAGTAACTTTTGAAATATCCAGGGTTCAAACTGATTTATTTCATACAAAGGGTTAACTTAAGTAAATTCAAACTGAGCTTAGTGAATATTGGTATAAGGTTCGTGGTCCGCCGTACGGCGCAGCTTAGTCATGATATTGGAACATGACCGTCGGACGGCTGCCACATCGATTTTCCGGATGCATTCTGTTGGTGAGTTGTTTGCTGTCCTCAAGCCTACACACTTAATCTAGCTCGGTAAAATCTCCAAAAGCCGATTTCCTCGGCATTTACTTTTGCTGATATCTACGCAGAATATCTGTTTGTTAGTTAATATTTCAGCAAAATGTTATTTGATAGCTGAGTCTCGGCAATTGTTTTACTGAGTCTCAGCAATATAAATTGCAGAACTACTCGGCTGTTGGAATCTCGGCGAAAAAATTTAAGTGTGTAGGCCTTCCAATTATGGCTCGATAGGACGACACTGCGGCAGATTTGTCGGATTCCGGTCTTTTGGCACATATGGTATATTTTGGCTTTCTGCCGTACTTCCGCATCATCCAGCGGCATTGGGATCTCACGGTTTGGATTTGCCCGGCAGTGTACTCTGGGGATCTGGTTTTCTTTCTATACACTATTCCCTCCTTCCTTAGGGTCTTACAGATGTGTGACTTCGAACACACTTAAACAGAGACCCTGAGTTCGGTAAAAAAAATTGCCGTCTTAGATCGGTAATGCTAAAAATTACAGATGTTTCGGTACTTTCTCGCTTTATTACTGAAAACTGTAAATGAAATGACCGAATTTCGGTAATTTCATTTTAATTCAACGAAAGCGGTAAACATTTTCACCGGCAGGTCTGTAAATCAGCTTCATCACTGACTTCGGTGAAAAAATTTACTGAAGTTTCGGTAAACAAAGCGTTCCATTACTGAGTTCGACAACGGTCTCGGTAAACGTCAAATCCACCATATTGTGATTTTCGATCGACTTTGAAAACGGTCGTGTTTGTGAAAAATAAAAAGGTGAAATTATGGAGGCTGTTATGCAACACCAAGATGAACGAATCGTAGATATTGTCCGTAAGTAATTAATTTTCTTTATCTAAATAAATATCGATTACAGATGGCCGATGTTGTTGCTTGTTTATTTCTGTCGGTCCAAGTTTCATTCCCGTTGGCGACGATCTGAAAACAGCATTTGGAATCTTCATCCAATGCTTCCCTGTTTTCAGTGTATCGCCGAATCCTTCCTACAAAAACTTGATTTTGTTCATTGGTGGAGCAATTTGCAACACTAACACATTGATCACGACTGCAGCCAAATTTTTGCATGGGTTGCAGCACACTAAGATTTTGTTTTCGTGTTCGGTAAATTTTACCGAAATCAGAACAGCTGAACGTTCGGTAAAACTTTTACCTTAATTTTAAAGGCTATTGAACTTGATAATAATTTCAAAACATGTTCACCCTTGTTTAAATGATCAAATCTTGTCATTTTAGTGGAGATTTAGTTTCAAAGTAGCTGAAAAGCAATAGAATTGAATTGCATAAATTTTACCGAACAGTTCAGATTTCGGTAAAAATTACCGAAGTCGGCGATAATTTCTAAGTGTGAGTGACCGCCACCTTGAAACAATATTAAACCAAATTACAGTTGAGTCGGTTACCTTTTTAAAAAATTACAGATCTCTCAGTAATTTTCGATTTGCATATCGCCCTCAAAATTACAGTTCACCGGTAAATTCTCGATTCCCGAAAACATTACCGACCGTTCAGCTGTTGAGAATTCGGTAAATGAATTACCGAAGTCGGTGATTTTTTTCTAAGTGTGAACAACGGAACTTACTGGCCGCTTCCCGTTGACTTACCGAATTCTTGTTGTTGAAC